TCCCTCCCTGGCTGTACACAATAGTTTACTGTATGCATGTATCACATTTGGCTCATCTACACATCTTCTGATGGGCAGTTGGTCTTTCTCCATCATTTGGCTCTGTGAATGGTGTTGCTGTCAACATGGGTGTGATGATTTGAACGAGGATGACCCCGGTAGGCTGATATATTTGAATATTCTATTCTCAATTGGTGGAACTGTTTAGGAAGGATTGGGAGGTGTGACCTTGTTGGAGGAGGTGTGTCACTGGGGGTTGGATTTTGAGGTTTCAAAAACCAATGCCAGGCCCAGTCTCTCACCTTCTCTGACTTTTGCCTGTGTTTTGGGATATATGCTCTCAGCTACAGCATCATGCCTGCCTGTCAGCTGATATGTTACCCATCATGATGATCATGGACTAACTGTAAGCAAGCTTCCAGTTAAATGTTTTCTTTCAAATCTGACTTGGTCACGGTGTCTCTTCACAGCAGAAGAACGGTGACTAAGATAATTGGTATATACATTATCTGTTTGTACCTGGGCTCTCAGTTCTTTTGGGTAATAGGTAGGGGTGGGTTTTCTGGATCACATGGCAATTCTCTTTACTCTTTGGAGGAGCTGTCATGCTGTTTTCAGAAATACACATTTTCCTTATACAAGTCATCATTATGAAGACCTTCTAGAATGCTTTGGTGTTTTTGTTGTTTTTTTCAGAAGTCCTACTTCTCTTTTCTTTTGGTCTTGTACGTCATTAGCTTCTAGGCATTTAATTAACTTGCATAATCTCAATACCAAGTCCAGGTATCATCAGTCAATTGGGAAACATGCAATTCAATTCACTTGGCAAGACCAGATGTGGTTAGAAAGTCATGTTCCAGAAGAGCCCCAGCTTATTGCAGGTTCTAGCCAGCTGAGAATAGGATCTAGAATGGATGGATGGGCACTGTTGGTTAACTGGGCTGACTAAGATAAGCTGCTCGTTGACCAAATTACCTCTGTCCCAATAAGTTGTAGAAAGAAACATAGCAGCAAGTGACTTTGGATCCAGAAGGAACCAACAACTGGTCACATTCCATGCCCTGGTTTAAAGACAAGAGAAAGGCTCAGGTAGCAAAGGCTAGTCCTCCTTTGTGTGACTTTATTTGTGTGTGTGTGTGTGTGTGTGTGTGTGTGTGTGTGTGTGTGTGTACATGCATGTGGGGGCCAGAGATCAATATTGGATGTGCTCTTTGATTGCTTTCCACCTTTTAAAGTGGCCTCTCAGTGAACCTGGAGCTTATGCATTCAGCGAGGCTGAATGGCTGGGGAACTTCTGAAATCCTCCTGCCTCTACTCTTGTACTGTAATTACAAATACATGCTTACATGCCCGACTTTTCAGGTGATCCCTGGGGATCTGAACTCAGAACCCCATGTTTGAAGGACAGGTACTTTACTGCTGGAACTATCTCCCCAGCACATTTTGTGACTTCTTGAATGCAAGAAAGGACCAGTGGGCTGAGGCATCAGGTCGACTCCGCATACTCCGCATCTTCTTAATTAGACTTAATTAGACTTAATTTAACATGCTGACATGTGGGAATAAATGAGGAATTGGAGGAGTGGCACCTGTAGCTTTTGAAGGTAGCTATGAAGTGAAGACTGCATGAGGAGTTGTGATTAGACACTCTTTGAGACAGTTCCGTGGGGGAATCATGAAAGCTGTGGAAGGACACTTTTGAAAAGCACCGTCGGTCCTTGTTGGCCACTCAGTGATTAAAGGTTTGGGAGTCTGCCCCTCTGTACTTGTTCTAAAGGAACTCCGTTTATTTAGCTTAGAGAGAGAAAACAGGCATGGTGAGGGGGACTTAATGAGAGTCTTCAGGAGCCTGAGGACTCTCCTCTGAGTGATGAGAAACAGCTGTTTCCTGTTTCTGCTAAGGATGGGAGAAGAGTGGAGTCAGGACTGCAAGTGACTTTAAGAAATCCTTGTCTGGAGAGTTCAAGACACTGAAGCAGAAAGAAAATTATCCCTTCTCTGTCTCAGAATTACAGGGCCTCCTGTTTTTCTTGGGGTTATCAACACGTGACCTTTTCATGACTCTGAAACCTGTACAAAAACAATCCAGCAGGCCCTTCTCCGATTTAAAAAAAGAAAAAGAAAAAAAAAAGTGTGTTTCCATTGACTGGGTCTTCCAATGCTCTGTGGTTGAGGAAGCCCCAACCCTAACTCTGCAGTGGACTCACAACAGAAAAAGCCAGAGTTCCTTTGCTGTAAATCAGTACAATATACATTTATTGCTACATCCAGTAAAGAAGTCCCATCAGTGGGCTGGTGGGTGGCTTGCAGACAAAGATGGCTGCCAGCAAGCCTGCTGACCTGAGCCCCTCCCTGAGACCCACGCAGTGGTAGTGGGAACCAACTCCTGTGCTCTGAAGCCACACTACCATGACACACGTGCTTCCACACACACTCACACGTGTACAGAAGTGTAATGAGAATAAAACATTTTTATCAGTGTGCTAGTATGTGTTTTCCTTTCAATTGATTAATGAGGTCACGATATTCTTGTCCTAAGTGAGACTTGATATTATGTATATGCATGTGAGTGTGTGTTTGTGTAGATAGAATCACATACACGTGTCATGTATATTTAATGTACACTTAATTTGATATGCAAGATTTATAATATAAACCTTTCTATCATAGTATCAGATAATCATATAAAATGTAATTTATATGTAATTATTTCAACAATGAAAATGAGTTTTTGTTCTGGGTAGTATTCCAAACTGTTAATTACATCAAGATGAATAAACTATTAACAGAAAATATGCACATTACCATATAATAATACACCACCTAAGGGAAGACATTCTAGGAGAAAAACCCAAAGCAGAAGGATGAGTCTGGGCATGCTCTGAACTGTTTGCTAGTAAGGGAAGGAGATGGAATTCCATGTCCACTATTGTTTCATATTCTTTCCCATATTGGGCACATTGTGCCATTTATTCTCAGCTGGGTAAGTTGTATCTCCTTTGACAAGTCAGCCTCTCATCCCTACAGGACTCACAGATGCTGTTAGTGTTTTTCATCAGCCTCGTCTAGGTCTGCCTTCTGCCAGCATCAAGAGTCAGTATAATCATGGCCAAAGATATTTGCTTCGATTATTGAATAAATCCTACCCTATGAAAAGTGGTTGTGACCCCATGGTCCCACTCTGATTGTCATAGCAACATGGTTCAATGGCTTGGGAGTGGGGTGGGCTTTGACTCCTCCCTCACTTTTCCATTTGCTTAATCTACTTTATAGGAATCATTGGAGGATTAAATTAAACCAAATAGAGTGTGACAAGCCCAGAGTCCACTGTACCCGGCCCTGAAGTCACATCTTTTGGTCTTTAGTGAAAAGAACTTCTTGCCTATTACAGGGACACGATTATCCCACACTCTTCCATCTAGTGGGGCTCATCCATGGGGCAGGCCTGTGCCATAAATTTATCTAAAGTTCAGGGGGGTACCTAAGCATGTAAATTACGAGTCTTCTTTCCTTTCCTTTCCATTTTCTCTTCCCTTCCCCTTCTTCCCCTTCCTTCCTTTCCATTTTTCTTCTTTTCTCCATCCTTCTTCCTTTCCCTTCTCTTTATGACTTTGTTTTTATTTCCTTTTGTACCATTTTTCTTTTCCCCTATCCCTCCCTCCTCCCTCCAGCCCTCTTTGTTCTTCCCTCCCCTCCTTTTTCCCTCCCTCCCTCCTTCCATCCCTTTCCCCTCCCTTCTCTAGTCTGGGGATGTAACTCAGGACCTCCTGGAGGCTAGGCAAGCACTCCGCCACCCCCACCAAGCTACAGCCCCAGGTGTTGCTTCTTTCTTCTTCATACTACTTCCTTAACTCTGGGGGGGGGGGGGAGGGTGAATCTACTCTAACCCCAAATATCCCAGGAAGCATTTGTTGCCACATTATCTCAAGCAAACTGTGAAGACATAATGTGTTTGTGTGTGTGTGTATGTAGGTCAGGGAGGGATGCATTAACAACTAGTTGGTAATATGTTTTCGTTTTGCAGCTTACCAGGGAAAAAAATGTATCAACTAGATATCTCTAGAGTCATTTAGTAGCTGTTGAATCAGTAGAGTGTTCCTCTTTGAAATGTTGTCAAGTTGATGGCATGACCCCATGATCAGAGAAGCTTATGAATTTACTGGAGGAACCAAATCCCTAAGTAGGAAAACACCTTCAAAATTAGACTGGGAACTACGAAGATCTGTATAAAACACCACGGCTTGAGCCCTCAAGTACCACTGAAATGCAAGCCATGGGCTGTACATAGCGTAGGATTCACTAGAGCTCCGGGAGATTTAGGGTCACAGATTTGTTCATAAAATATGATCATTTTAAAAGAGAGTTGTAGAAACCACCTCAGATGTACACTTCCCGTTGAAACCACAGAGTGTCCTGTCACAGCTCCTTTTCTATCTTCCTGAAGTCTCAGTGCTCAGATGGATCCGTTCAGACTCTCACTGGCACACAGTGCCACACTGCTCCTGCCAGAAGTTCTTCTGAGATGGCAGGATGCAGGATTTCACCACCAATCACAAATCACACTGAGAGTCAAAACCCAGCAAGCGGTTTAACTCAAAAGCAGGGCCACATATCTTAAGGATTTATAATCCAGGGACTTGGGAGGGAGGGAGTGGTCTTCTGAACTGAACCATCATCTCCAAGATCCCCAAATCAAAGAAGTGCAGAGACAGAACAACAAAGTCACTTCATAGCATTAAAAAAAAAAAAAAAAAAAAAATTATGGCAGATTCTTACAGAGCTTCTGTCAGCACACGCAATAGATTTCACAGTTACACTTTTCAGAGCAAATGGCCTGTTGTTATGTGTCACATATGGAACCACACTGTCGGGATGCCAATGCATGAATACAGACTTGGCGCTAACTGTCAACAATGACTTGGAATACTGTGGTTGATTTGGGTTCAGTCATTCTGTCAGTGTCCGGCTGAGTGGTTTCTCATGTTCTTTCCCCTCTCTAGATCCTCAAATCCAAAGACTTAACATCTCCAACCCAGCGCTACATTGATAGTAAGGTTGTGAAAACGAGAGCTGAGGGGGAATGGCTCTCCTTTGACGTGACGGATGCCGTGCACGAATGGCTTCACCACAAAGGTTACAAAGTTCTTTCTTGTTCTCTCCCTAGATGTGGTCTGGACAGCTTATGAACTGACTGCAGACTTAGACACATGTACAAATGACTTCCTTAACTTAATGTTTTGCAGACAGGAACCTGGGATTTAAGATAAGCTTACACTGCCCCTGCTGTACCTTTGTGCCATCTAATAATTACATCATCCCGAATAAAAGTGAAGAGCTCGAAGCCAGATTTGCAGGTAATGGAAGCTTCATCCTCACTGGGAGGATGTCTTCTGAGGGGTGATGTCAGCTTGCATGTGAAAATGGCATTGTTTGAGGATGGGTGGGACTGGCTTGGTGGAAGAGAGAAGAAAGTAGAAAAGTGTGCCTGGAGAGGTGGCTCAGTGGTTAGGAGCAGGCACTACTCTTGCAAAGGATCTAAGTTCAGTACCCAGCACCCACACCAGGGAGCTAACAACTGCTTAAAATTCCCTCTGCAGGGGAATCTGGCTACCTCTTCTGTTCTCCAAGGACACCTGTACTTAAGTTCATACACTCACACATGTGCATAATTTTTTATTTATTTTAATTTCATTTGACATTCCAATCACAGTTCTCCCTCCCATCCCACCTCCTGCCCATTCCCTGCCTCTCTCCCAGCCCATTCCCCATCCACTCCCATGAGTGGTAAGGGCTCCCATGAGGAGTCAATAAAACCTGGCCCATTAAGTTGAGACAGGACCAAGCCCCTCCCCCCTCCTTGCAGGGTAAGCATGGCATCCTACCATAGGGAATCAGTTCCCACAAACTAGCTCATGCATCAGCGATAGATCCTGGTCCTACTGCCAGGGCCCCTCAGGTACACCAAGATACACAACTGTCTCCCACATGTAGAGGGCTTAGTTCAGTCCCCTGGAGGCACCACGGCTGTGGGTCTAGAGGTCATGAGTTCCCAGCAGCTTGGTTCTCCTGCCTCTGTACATTTCTCCATCATGATCTTGACCTTCCTTGCTCATGTATTCCCTACTTCCTCTCTTCATGGATAACCCTGGGAAGGGGAATTAGATGAGATCTCCTGGGTAAACTGTGGGTGGTGGGGAGCAGTAAAGGCTAGGAACATGAGGGAATGGGATGGTCAAGTTGGGGGAGGGACAAAGTGGGAGAGCAATGAAAGAGCTATGGTGCTGGTGAAATTCCCAGGAATTCACAAGGGTGATCTCAGCTAAGACTCCTAGCAATAGTGGAGAGGGTGCCTGAACTGGCCTTCCTCTATAATCAGATTGGTGACTATCCAACCTGTCATCACAGACCTTTCATACAGATACAGATATCATACAGATACAGAGATCCACAATTAAGCACCAGGCAGGCCAAGCTCTGGGAATCCACACATATACATAATTTAAAAATGCAAATATTTCCTTTTTAATGGAAAGGATTGGAAGGAAGGAATAGACTCCAGATTTTCACTGCTTGTTGCCTAGTGATAAAACTGTAAACTATTGGTCTGTGAAGCCTTTATTCCTCACTCTAACTAAGCAAGTCAGCTTCCTACCTGCTGAGATGATTGAAGTCAATAGCAGGATTCAAGGAAATCCATTTCGAACCCCAGAAGCAAAATTTCAAGCACCAACAAGTACATTTCATCAAAGACAAGAATGGTCCCCCATCTCAGTCTCTGTACCTTACCTTCCAGGTGTCAGGACGAACCACCACTTTCTAGCCTGCACCCACTATTGCAAGTGGCTTCCCTACCAGATTTCAGTGGCAGCTAATAAACACAGAATGGGGCTCTCATTTCCCCTGCTCACCTTGGAGTTGAGTTCATCAATATACAGAGTGAATAAAGGTGTCGAGGGTTCAAGTCATTTGACTTACAAGACAGTGAACTATTGGGTGAGAAGGTGAAAGGGAAGTCCATGGTAAACACTGTTGTGGCATCTGCCATCCTTTCCTCATAACCTCACCTGGGACCTCAGTCCACTTTTAGCAATCCCCAGCAGCCCATGGTCATGGAAAAACACTCCCTGAAGGGGTAGAGATTTATTTTGGTCTCTGACCTAACTGAGATTCTCTGAGTGGAGATTAAATGCTTAAACTGGCACTCTCCCGAGCATGTTTAGGGGGCTTGAGTTTCTAAATCTCAGATGGAATCAGAAAAGTGTTGAGGATGCCATAAAGTAAATGAAAAAGCTCTTTCTGAGCAGCTTCCCAAAATAGCATTAGGTAAGGGTGACTCCTGTTTCACTTGAACCAAGTTCACGGCCGTTTAGCTGCACTCAGGTTATGCTCATTAGGAAAGTCTCTGGGTTGACGGTCTCTGGAAAAGAGGGAACCAGCAGGCGACAAGGCATGCTCTATGGCTGTGTGCTCTGTTGCTGAGAGTTTGAACATAGCCCACACTGAGGATGAACTAAAATAAACTGCCTAGATTGCCCTTGGACCATAGGTCAAAGACTTTTTGTAGTGACTTTTCCCAGTAACAGCCATGCCTTCAACAGAACTGCCCCTGGACAAGAGGCCCATTCAGATGTGTTCATTGTCCCTTGTGCGAGGCCCATTGTGCCATATCTGCTTCTGTGGGGAATGATGATAGCCAGTCAGTGCAGCTGCAATAGTCATCACTGTTGTTTGTGACTGTGTGCATGAGGAAACTATATTGTATAAATGTTGCTGCTTATATTTGACAAAGGTAAAGCTAAATGTTTATTACCCAAATGCATCTTTTCAAGGTATTGATGGCACCTCCACATATACCAGTGGTGATCAGAAAACTATAAAGTCCACTAGGAAAAAAAACAGTGGGAAGACCCCACATCTCCTGCTAATGTTGTTGCCCTCCTACAGACTGGAGTCTCAACAGTCCAACCGGCGCAAGAAGCGTGCTTTGGATGCCGCCTATTGCTTTAGGTAAAGAAATGAAAATAAAAACAGATGATTGCAACTGCCAACTCTTGCATTGCCTATGCTTTCTTCTTCATATATTGACCTGAATTGAAGTCATTGCTCAAGGACAGGGATAGTAAAGCCTTTGGATTTCATGGCAGCATTCTCTCCAAAGAATTTCTAAAAATATTTTATTTTTTATAGTACATCACTTCCTCCCTACAACCCCTCACTTTTATCCCATGCTCTATCCAAATTTCATGGTCTCTTTTTCTTCAGTTATTATTGTTACACACGCACGCAGCAGCCACACAAATAAATACATAGATGCAACTTTTTGACTCCAATTAGTGTTGCTTATTTATATATGTTTTGGCTGATCACTTTGTGTTGGATAACCAATTAGGGGGTGCATCTCTGGAGAAGGCTAACTCTTCATCTCTTAGCCATCCTTAATGGCCTATAGGTCTGTATCTGGGAGAAGGGCCCTGTGACATTTACCCCATCCTTGCTGGCATGTCAATTGGTGTCCTTGTTTGGGTCTTGTTTAGGCAGCCATATCATTGATGCTTCTTGAAGACTTTCAACAGTTCCTTCCCTGCTGTGGTTCTAGCTCTCTATCAGTGAACCAGGTGTGAAAAGAGAAAACTAGCCCTGAGTGTTTCCTACAAGTCTCTCTAATGTGCTTGGGTTCTGATAAGTTCTGATAGCTCTTTGCCCACAAAGTAAATGCAAGTTTCCTTGAGGTTTTGGCTAGATCAGTAAGATCCATCATTATAGGAATTCTTCACCTGAGGTTTGATTTCTTTCTGAGATGTAGAAATAAGATGGCAGAAGAAGGGTGATGACCATACCTTTGTCTGCAAGAATTTATTTGTCATTTATGTGTGAATTCTTGAAGGGGAAGATTCATGGGCTTTGGTGCTCCTTGTAGGGGGAGGACTTCTTGTTTTGGAAGTTGTATATCAGGGGCAGAGTACCATTCATGAGGTGTTCACCATGTCATAGATCACAGACAGAAGAGGATATTTTGGTCAGCAAAGACAGTGATTATGGCAACAAGACTTGATATTTCTTGAACTCTGACTCACTTCTTGATATAGTAACAAGTGATAAAGCATAGGATAAGTTCTCAAAGGGAAATGCCTCTATGGGCTCTCTGAAAATATCTTTTGTACTTTATTTATTGTGTGCACAAAATAGCAGTAGAGGCTAGATGGCAGCTGTTCAGCAGGATGGACACTGTCCCTCTCTACTGTCTTCTTGTTTACTCTTAGTTCATTGAAGATGAATATTGATTTTCTAGGTCACAGACAAGAAGGCCAGGGTATAGAATACATACTGGAAAGTAGTCCAGGGACTCATTGTGGTATTGCACTGTTGATGTGGGATGACAAGAGAGACATCAAGGCCAGTCTCATAGTGTTTGCTGTAAGTGGAATGAGTGAATGACTCAGTTTTCTGACTCAGGGTGAGATGCATGCGAAATCAACTTTTCTTCTTTTAACAGAAATGTGCAGGATAATTGCTGCCTCCGCCCTCTTTACATTGATTTCAAGAGGGATCTTGGGTGGAAATGGATCCATGAACCCAAAGGGTATAATGCCAACTTCTGTGCTGGGGCATGTCCGTATCTATGGAGTTCAGACACTCAGCACACCAAAGTAAGTATCTGAATTATTTGCCTCTCCTACTCATACCTCAGTCAGTAATGATAATGACAATGATAATAATAACAATGCCAAACTCAACAGTTGTTGTGAAATACACATATATATTTAAGGTGAATATCTCTAAAACTTCATTTGTTGGTGGTTGCTTTTGTTGATACAGATCTCATTGTGTAGCCTTGGTTGTCCTGAGGCTCACTATGTAGATTAGGCTGGCCTTGAATTTATGACCTTCCTTCTGCTTCTGTCTCTCAAGTGTTGGGATTATAGGCGTGTACTACCACACCCTTCTCTCTAAATCTTTATGATTAGGACCAAAAGTGAACACTTGGCTAAATATTTTATCCAGTTTCTTTAATGAGGACAGAGGGCTAACTCAGCAAGAAGATCAAAGAGTGGATCCCATGCATCCCTAGCCCAGATGAGCACAAATTTTCTCTATATACTGATATATTAATCCATGAGTTTCCTCTTTGTGGCACGTGGTGTAGAATTTTTAAAGATGGGAAGAACTTTAGATTTGGTCTTGTTCAAACAGAATTTTCCTAAAAACAAAGAAATTAGATTTAGATTGTGTGGGTGCCTTGCCCAAGATGAAAGTGAAACCAGTGATAGCCCAGAGGTTGGATTGTAGCCCTGTTTGTTTTATAACCCAGTCCCCATTGCTCCATCTTTCTGAGCTGAATTCCTAAAATGTGGCAGCAAGTAGAGGTTTCTGTTCTGCTCTTTATGCCTCTGTAAATCTCCTTATTAAAGAGGCATTAGAAGCATTGCCTTCACTGCAGGGTAGGAAAACGAGTCTGCTGCCAGCAGATCGCATTTGGCTGACTGAATTCAAGAGTTGGGGGGGTTATCAATTATTTTAGGCAATCTGTGTTATAAAAATGGTTCTTCCTGCTTATGAAAAATTATGCATTAGTGGAACGTGAGGTCTATTTACTTATAAATGCCTGCCTGGACTGGAATTGAAATGGACAAACATGGCTTCCCCTCCTCCAGTCATTTTCCCAGTGCCCCTGTAGGCTTGGTACTCAGGGGTGACCACGTGCTTGGCCATGTGAGGGAAGCTGGCTCATGCCTGTCCCTTTGTCTGAGCTCTCTGGCCAGCCTGCTTCATCTGGACTGCGACAGCAGTAGCTGTAACTCGGGCAGGGCTGGGCTGCCAAGTTGAAATGTAATTCTCCCTGATACACAGAGGGAGTGTGTGAGGGCTGGGGCCAGGCTTGTTTTTCAAGGAGGAGGAAGAATAACTGTCATGGTCACAAATATGTGGTTTGGACAGTTCCCCAAGAAGCCAGAGGTAGCCTAATAAAGTAGTCAGTGTTGCTGCGCTCAAGAGGTCTCTTGTCCTCAGTTGAAAACATCCCAGGGAATCTCGAGGAAAAGGTCACTTGTTTGACTAACACATTAATGGCATCCTTAGAAATGTCACTGTCATCACTGGGTAACCTACACACTTCCATCAACAAGAGCCACTCACTCCTGTGGTGGAGACTGGGACAAAACTGCAGAACTATGTACAGCACTTTGTCTTCTATTGGAGGACTTGGTATTTAGTTCTTAAGCTTAGCCATCCCCATTTAGCATGAGGAATGTTAATGGATGGTTAGTTACTATTATTGTTTTAAGCAAAATAGAAGAAAGTGAACAATTGAAACCATACATTAGGCAGGAGGATTGTGGGTTTAAGGCCAGCTTGAACTATATAGTGAGTTCAAGGCCAGCCTGGTCTGTTGTATAGTGTGGGCTACAAAGGAAGACTTTGTATCAAAGTGTGATGAAACAAAGACTCCATGTGGCTTTCATGCTGCTTTCTCCTCCATTCTTTACATCACTGTAATTATAAGTCAGGGTAAGTAAAAGCATTTTTTGAAAATGAAACTGTGACATTTCATTGGCCTGTGGAGACATTTAACAGGAAGTTATCCTGATGCAGGCAGACATCCTTTCTATACCCGAGTATAGATTATAGTTCTTACAAGAACTTCAATGGGATAGTTTATCCTTCTATTTGTCATTTTGTCCCCAAGCATATCAGTCATATACTGTGCAGACAAGAGCTTCCTAGAGTTACAAACATAAACAAAGTTAGTCAAGTCCCTGAGCCCAAGAAGCCTTTAACCAGTGTGGGAGTGTAAAATAGGTATTCATGGAACCTTGGTTCCAAATTTAAATAGAAACAAGGCCAAATAGCAGGAGGACTGGGGTCTTTGTATAACAAAGGCCAGTAGATGATTTGAAAAAAAATTAGGAAAATCTGCTAACTGAACAATTTGGTGTAATCTGACATTTTATGGAATCATTTGTTTAATATGCACAAAAAGAACAAAAGGCATCCTGTGGGAAAAGTCTAAATTGGTCATTACTAAGGTTCCAATCCAGTCTGACCATAATTTAGAGGTAAGAAAAAAATAATTAAGATTGCCTACTCAGTGGTCCTGAGCTCTAAGCCGAGGAGATGACTCAATGGATAAAATGCTGTAAGCATCAGAACTTGGAGTTCATATCACCATCAACCACATAAAAGCTAATGTGGTGATTTATTCTTATAACCTCAGAGATGTGAGGGACAGAGACAGGAGGATAATTGGAATTTGCTGACCAAGCCAACATAGCCAAATGAGCTACAGGTTCCATGAGAGATCAGCCTAAAATAGATATATAGATGATAGATAAATAGAAGGGTAGATAGATGGATAGATAGGCAATCAGACAGACAGATGATAGATAACAGAGATAATAGATGATAGACAGACAGATAGATGATAGATAGGCAGAAAGACATAGATAGATAATAAATAGACAGATGATAAATTATTAATAGATAGATTGATTGATCAATAGATAGATAGATGACAGACAGATAGGTAGGTAGGTAGGTAGATAGACAGATAGATAGATAGATAGATATAGAGAGAGACTGAGGAAGACACCCAACATCAACCACTGGCCCCTGCTTTCAGGTGCACACACATGCATGTAAGTACAAAGTTTAAAAATAAAATAAATGAAACTAATCACTTGCTTGTGTGTGTGTCCCTGTGTTGTGTCACTCAGGTCCTCAGTTTGTACAATACCATAAATCCCGAAGCTTCTGCTTCCCCTTGCTGTGTGTCTCAAGATCTGGAGCCACTGACCATCCTCTACTACATTGGCAACACACCCAAGATCGAACAACTTTCCAACATGATAGTCAAGTCTTGTAAATGCAGCTAAGGTCCTCAGAAACGCCACGGCACGAAAATCACGGTGACAATGACACACGACAACGACAATGACGATGATGATGTTCGTGACACGAGGGAGTTTTGATTCATCAGTGTTTAGGAAAATTGGAGAAAAAGCGGTACTAGTTCAAATATTTTGCGAGCTTGTGTTCTGTTTGTTAAAACTGGCATCTGTGATTACAGCAACAACAACAAAACCATGGAAGGCTTTAGTCTGCATTTCACCTACTTTGTGAGAGACACAAAAGAAAACATCTTTTTTTTTTTTTTAATGGAAAAAAATAAACACTGGAAGAATTTGTTAGTGTTAATTATGTGAAAGAAAAAAACAAAACAAAACAGGAAAATCCGTTCGGTGGAGTTGTACGTATTGTTTCCCCCCCACACACACCTCAACCCTGCTTCTTTCTCCTGGTTCCTCTGTATTGCTCTGCAGTACACACTTCCCCTGTCCCTTTCTCTGAGCTATCAGTGGGTTATTTATTGTGTGTTACTATATAATGAACTTTTCACTGCCCTTGGAAAACAAAACAGGTGTATAAAGTGGAAACCAAATTCTTGGCCACAAACTCATGGATGACTTAAGGAATTTGAACTCAAACAGGCTGGAAAAACAGGAGGGCATACAGGGATGAAGCCCCCATGAGTCCTTATATGACTGAGCAACTCTGAGGAGGATAGAAACCCCAAGAAGATGTTCTGTGCACCAACTGCTTGCAGAAGCTTCATGGACGGCCATACTCTGAGAAGGCCTGTTAACGACAAAAATTTGGAGTCAGTGGGAATCTGGAAGATTCCTTTTTTTCTTTTAATTGTAAATGGTTCTTTGCCAGTTTAAGCAAGCCAGTGAAATGTTGACCTGTTTTGACGTGTATTGTCATACTTTGGACCGTGAAGTGTCTGTAGAGCTCTGATACAGGTGTTTTCCTTTGTCTTGGTATATGTAATCACACTGATACTATTAAAATAGATGGGTCTAGAAGCCAGCAAAATTGAAAACACATCTGCAAATCTGTTTTTACAAACTATTAAATCAAAACATTAACTACTTTATATGTAATATGTAGATCCATACCATATTTTTGATATTCTGTAATAATGATTATGGTTTAGATTGAACTTAAATTTGACTTTTTTTTTTTTAATGATCATTTGAAGATTGTATGTTTGTTTCCTTTAGCTGGCCAGTACCTTTGAATAAAACCCCTAGATTTTGACTTGCACTACAAACTCATTTTTAAAATAATTATCTCCTCTGCTTGTCTTTTATGTATTGTCCATTTCATGACCTAAGATACCTGGTTCCATTTTCCCCTCTTACTTTTCTTTTCCAAAAGACAAAAAACAAAGCAAACAAACAAAACCAAAAAGGTATGTTTGAGTTCCACAGTCTTCCTCCATCTCTTCTATGTCAGTACTAACTAGTCAGGTTGGATGGCAAAGCTTCTCCCAGAAATATGGCTATGTATCAATGCAGATAATTGAACACAAACGTAGTGTTAGAGAGGGTTTAAGACTCCGAACTCAGAACCCTGGTGACTGGGTGAGGAAAAGTTTCTCTAGCTTCCTTTAGTCCATATATTTGTGGAATTTTGTTGCTGTTAAAACATAGACAGTTAAAGGGGGGTGGGTGAGGCACCTTTTTATTTAATTGGGCTTTTGGTTTCTTGGGGAGAATTGAGAGATACGCCCTTGGATTGGGTTTTTCAAATGGGAAAAAAGTCCAGACCAGCAATTGTCAATTTATTCATTTCCCCGAAGTTCAGGCCTTGAAAGAAATTCTTTGAAGGCTGAAAAGGCACAAGCCAAATTCTCCTTTGTCAAATTTTCTTCCTTTCATCTGGGTGAGAACACTCTATGGCTGAGGTTAGCTTTGGCTTAAGGAAATATGTTGTCCTATTTTTCAGAGGTGAGACCTGACAACGGGCTTTGTCACTTACTTAGCTTCAAAATGTAAGCTAATCTATAAAACAGTATTTATGGTCTTACCAGAATATTGACTTTATGGAATATTTATGGTCTTACCCAAAGGGCAACATAGTGAGATATGAATAAAAAGAGAATGTCTTTGACATGGTATACTTATTTGGGGAACTTCCCTCAAAATTCGTGAAAATGGAGGAAAGGGAATTGCCAACCAGAAGACAGACAACAAGTGCTGGTGAATGGCTCTTGTGTCCCGTGGAACACAAACCCAGATTTGCCTGTGTGTTCATTTTCTGTCCCCTTCCACTCTTCTGTTAGTTCTGTATAAACACCCCCCCTATTTCTGCATATATTTTCCTCTCAGACAAAATGACCGGTTTTGATCTGTATGATTTTATCTCTCCATCTGAATGCACTGACTGCTCTTTTGTAAGGTTTCTTGAACTTTTTTCTCTCTCTCTTTTAAAGTCTGTGGGGTCTACAGGTCTTTATTTCTATTAATAAATATTGCCATGGGAGGGGTAAGAAGAGGGAGGGAGGGGTGTGTTAGCATATGGGTGGGGCCGCAGATTGTATGTGTTAATCGACAGTACAATTTTATGGTTGGCATGGTTTTTTAAAAAAATGGAATATAAGAATAGCTGTTATGTGTTTTGATGACCAATTATACTGTATTTTAACACAATGTATGTCTGGTTTTTGTGGTGCTCTAGTGGTAAATAAATTATTTCAGTTATATGTTGCTGTGTTCTTCCTATCAAAGGATCATGTTTGAGACTAGAAAACACATGTACACAGTGAGATGACAGTTCCACTGAAAAAGGCTGTCTACTGTGTTTTTGTCACATAGCTGTTTACTTCAGAAATACCATGCTACAGCTTCAGGGCCAAAACATAGCTATCAAGGACCAAAGAAAGGCTTCGCTGTCTTTTTATTTTCTCATTTATTACTATTTGGTAATTGTTTGGGATTTAGTTTCCACCCAGCTTGACTGTCTACCAGGAAAAAAAAATGCAGAGATATTTGGGCCATGATTAGGCTTTCTGGTACTATGTTCTGCCAATCCCAAGGCCAAAAGAACCGGTCTAGACAGGATCCCCTGTCGCCCCATAACTTGGATAGTTACTGAGCTAGCCAGATATAACAAAAGCCATGTGTACTTTGGGGGTCGTTGCTTGAGAACAGTTACTCCTGTCTCAGTTTTACCCATAGCACTGTGCACAGACACATACACACAAACATGTGTGCTATTCCTCAAATCTCCTTGGCCCTTACCTATAGTACCCCACTTAAGAGAGTTACCAACCTCTTAATATAAAACTGGTGAGAAAGTAGACGAGACTCAGTCTGCTCTTCTTGCTTTTCCAATGATAGAACTTACTTGGTACCCGCTGTGTTGTCCACATGTTACAGAAACAAGCCATCAGTTTGAGCATGGAGGTAGAATAGAGGAAGGGTCCCTCCTCTGCCATCTTGTTGTTTGTTTCTGCCAGAGTGGAAGAAAGCTTTCCTTTCTCTAATCTCAGTCCAGGGTCCTGTGTAGAATGAGATAGCCAAAATCTGTCATCCATCCTAGCTCATGTCACAGTTAATTGATGGGTGAGAATGACAGAGTAGTATACAGGCTAGGCAATGGAAAAAAAAAACCATCTAGGAGCCCCAAAACATTGGAAATTTTTCCATTCACTCTCTTTACTAACAGTATCTTTCCTCCTTCCTTCCTTTTCTTTCTTTCTTTTTCTTTTTATTTCTTGTTTTTTTTTTTTTTTTTTTTTTTTTTTTTTGAGACACAGTTTCTCTGTAGCTCTAGCTGTGCTGGAACTCACTCTGTAGACCAGGCTGGCCTTGAACTCACAGAGATCCACCTGCCTCTGCCTCCTGAGTGCTGGGATTAAAGCTGTGTGCCATCATTGACCAGCTCCTTCCTTCCTCCCTCCCTCCCTCCTCCCCTCTCTTTCTGGTGGTGGTCTTGCAGACTGAATGTAGGGCATTCTGTATACTAATCAAATGTAGTATGGCTGAGCCATACTCCCAGGTGTTTCACTACCTTCCAGTGAAGAGAAGAGTACCCAATTTGCACATCTGCCTACTTGGGAATAGCCATGAGGGGAAATCCTGCATGCTGTTTCGGCTCATCATTAAGCATCCATTGTGATATTCTTTTGACTGTTCTGCATTGGGTTGTGGCAGCCCTTGCAGTAATGAACTCTTCATTTTCAGACCATACATTGGGGCCACACATCTCTATCTTGGTACTCAATATGTAAAACTCTTTAGACCCATATCTCTTGAAAGTATTCCTGAGGCTATTTCAAAGTTCTATAGATTAACCTTCTGATAACAGGACAGACCCAAAATGATTGAAAAATACCTAGTTCAATGAACTTCATTGCATGGTAACAGTAACACAGTGGTCCATAACCAGACCCTCTTAGCTGATTTTCTCTCACACTTAACCTTTCATGTAGATGCATTTTTTAAAGACTTATTTTATTTTAAATTACGTATATGTCACACTCAGGAGTCAGAGATAGGTATATCTCTATGAATTTGAGGCCAACCTGATCGACAAAGCTACACTGAGAAACCCTATCTCCAAAAACCAAAATAAATAAATAAATAAAGGAAGGAAGGAAGAAAAAGAAAAAAGAAAAAAGTGTGTGTGTGTGATGTGCGTATGGGTATGTGCACATGTGAGTAAAATGCTTGCAGAAGCCTGAAGAGGGTGTTGGACTTCCTGGGACTGAGTTGCAAAGGAATTCCTGTTGTCTACGAGGGTAGTATGCTTTCTTAACCACTGAGCAGTCTCGCTAGGCCCTAACTATATTTTATATAACATCATGTTATGGGAGAGTAAGTGGGGGTTCTCACAGAGCATTGAGCACTCATACAGTTTGCAAAAGGAGGGTCTAGAACAGTGTCATCCAATACATGAGTCACATGAAGTACATGGAAAATTAAAAAATAGCCAATCTGACTTGAAACAGGCTACAGGTATAAAAGACCCACTAAAATTTTAAAGACTTGCGTACAAACACTTGCAAAATTTAGACTGTCTCAGTATAATCATTTTTATACCTATTACATATCTAAATATTCTTGGGTATGCATGTGTTTAAATAAAGCATGTGGTTAAAATTAATTTCAGCTGGTTTTCTATAAAATTATTTTACATGGTTGCTAAAAATATTATTATTATTATTATTTTATTTTGAGTTGAGGTTTTAGCTCTATTCTATGAGACGGTTCTGGAGTAAATTGTTTTTTTTTTTTTGTTTTGTTTTGTATTTTGAATTGAGTTCTGTTCTATAAGATGGTTCTTTTCTCTACTTCCTCTGGTTAGTGAGATGGGCTCTCACTATGCATCCCAGGCCACTCATCCTCCCATTGCTGGGATTACAGGTGTCGCACCTAGCACAGCTATAGAATTTGAGAGCCCCTCTGCCTGGAAACAAAGGCAGAGCTGTTCCCATAAACTATATTATCAGTCTTTGTTATTCTAACTAATGTGTAATCGAACAATGTTAGGACCTACCCTGTGAAAGTGCAGTTTTGGTCAGTCAACCTTTAGTGGTCAACCTAACACCAAGTCTTCAATGACAAAGGTCAGAAGGCAAATATGGACCTTTCATAAGCCTCAGTGTCCAAGTTCCTATATGATCGGTGGTTATCTCCTGGCAATGGAGTGAGGTAGTTCAACCTCTTCCTGAGCATATTGAGCTGTTAAACCAAATTCTTTCAACCCATAAAGGCTACATTAATATTCCAGTGGCAATCTTTCCTACCCTGCCTAAGGGAAAAACAAAAACCTGAATACTTACTGTGCTTGCTCAAGTCACTGGTTTTGAGACAATGTGAATTTTTCAGCAAAGAAAACATGCTGCATGGCTCTAGCTATTGGACCTTGAAGGGGTGGAGTCAGATCTCTATCCATAGGATACTTAACCCAAAATGAAAGCTAGGAGGCTTATGAGGTGCACACAGACATGAAAAGCCAGGACATGTAGCCTTCAAGATTGTCCTGGAAAACTCATCTTTGGCAACTAATCCCTTTGTTTCTATCAAGGGTTGTGACTGTACTTTTAGCAAAATTCAGACTTCGTTCTTCCTTTACTTACTACCAAAGTTGCCAGCAACATTCTCTGTTGCTTTTCCTTGTCTCTGCAGTCCCATCCTGTGATGAAGGCAAATAAGATCCCAAGTTTACTAACATTCCAGGTCAAAGGCAACAGGGGAAATATTATTTGCACAACTCCTTTAAAATTGTATTTACCAGATGCTATGATATTGGAGCAATTGGTGTAAATATTAGATCATGGTATCTATTTAAAACATCTGTTCTGTATCTACCTCTACCATCTTTGTAGATTTATTATTAATCATTTTTGAAAACATCTGTCACCTATCTCCATCATGTGGCCATGTATCTTATATGGCCACATACATGTGCTCTATGTATCATCTATAATTTATATATCATCTCTACTTATCTATCATGTATCTACCATCTCTTTATCATCCACCAAACTTATCTATTATATCTATTATCTATCATCTATCTATCTATCTATCTATCTATCTATCTATCTATCTATCATCTACCAACTTTCCTTTCTAATTTTATGTGAGATTGCAAAGAAAATGCTTTCCAGTGACCTTATCTTTAAAAGATTACTTTAGGCTTCTCCATGAGTGAGCCTTTATTTCCCTGAAGTGCTTTGTTGTTGCTGTTTTTTAAGTAAGTTATGGCTGTTTGGAGAAGAGTTGAGTGTGTTCCTGTAATCGGGCAGAGACCTAATAAAAGGAACAAAATGTACCAAGGGATGCTTTGTGTTGTGTGGTCAGAACTAGAGAAATGGTCCACCCAAAGAGAGTAGACATAATGAAACAAAGAAAAACCAGTGGTAAAGGAAAAGGTCCAATATAATCTCTCTGGCTGTCTCCCTCAGAGTAGGATTTTCTCTGCTGCAGATTCCGGCTCAACTGAAAGAGAACAGTTGTGTCACTTGGTCAACATCCACAATCTCCAGCCAGCCATGGTGACAGTGACCCTCTCCATAGGTCCAATGTTCCTTTCTGAACCATGTAGCAGCTCTTCCATCTCAGGATGATAGGAGCAAACAAACTAAGCAGTTATGCAATCCAATGCTGTCCTAAAGTCAGTGTGAAGTCATGCAGCTTGGCTCCTTCTCAAGTATGGGTGGAACACAAATTTCTTCACTTGAAACAAAATTAAACAGTACAGAAAACTGAGCAGAACTTTCAACCAAATGGCAGTACTGGATCAAGTTTCCCATTGCCATGTGTGTGTCTTCCCCTTGCTCATGGGCCAGAATTTGAAGGAACCTTAGGTTACATTCAGATCCCAACATGAGGACATATAGAAAGAAGCTGGTGAGAGAACATTGAGGAGTCTTCAGGAGGCCCAGAAACCTCTTGAATTTATTCTATTCTTATAGATCTGACAGTCTAGTATGAAAATATGAAGTATGAAGGTATATATATACACTTATGTATATATGCATGTACATGCATAGTTATAAGTATATACTATGTGTGTATGAATTTAATGTTCTTAAGGGTGCAGCATAAGAAATAATTACAACTCAAGGATTTAAAACTTGATAGCTACTCATTCACTCCCCTTCGGGAACCTAGACTAATGAGACAAAGCAAGACCTCCAGGTAGGATGGGAGTGGAAGAGCAGAAGAGATGAAGGGAGGTGACCAGAAATGG